TCTTAGCGGCCATCAATTAGAGCCATGTAACGTCACACAATGTGATTTCTACCGGTGTGACTTCTGTCATGTACTTAAATGCAACATCAGAGACTCAGCTGACTTTGGAGGAAAGGCTGCAGACTAGCAATGATTAGGCGTTATTTCATTAGGCGATCGGCAGAAATACAATTTGCAACTTTTTAAATGAAATCACAACATGTTTTTTTTTTTAAAGTTTAGAGCAGGGGTGTCAAACTCAATTTCTTCGCGGGCCACATCAGCATTATGGTTGCACTCAAAGGGCCGGTTGTAACTTTAAGACTATATATCAAAATACATATATAAATATTTAACATATATAAATATTTAATATATATAAAATAATGTATTATATTACATTATTGCCTCTGCATTGGATTATTATCGGATAGGGTAATAACTTCATAATTAACTACGTCTGAAAGCAGAAGTCTAGAGCAAATCATTGCAATTCTCTTCACTGAGAATGTTACAAAATGATTAAAAAATAAAGTCTAATTCTGAGAAAAATGCAAATTCTAAGAAAAAATGAATATTTTGAAGAAAAAAAGTCAAATTCTGAGAAAAAAACTTGTTCTGAGAAAAAAAGTCAAATTTGAGATGCATTGTGGGATATGTAGTTTATGGACAACGTGTTTCTGTAAATCGGCATGTAACCGTATAATAAACATATTATATTCTTTGCAAGCTCTTGAGGGGCTGCATGAAATGAAGTCGCGGGCCCGATTTGGCCCCCGGGCCTTGAGTTTGACACCCCTGATCTAGAGTAAAACAAATGTAAACATTATAAGGTTCAAGCTTCTCAAATGGCCAGATGTTTTAATGCATGAAATGATGATAATAATAATAATAATAATAATAATAGTAATATAAGAATAAATAATAGTTCAATTAATTAAATAATAATAATACAATAATAATATAAATCAAATAAATATATGTATACAAATATCTGTAGACCAAACATTTAATCATAACAAATAAAAATAGGGACAGGATAATTAAAAATGAGAATAATAGTTTGAGCTGCTACATCATCGGTACAGTGCAGTTTTTTATGTTTATTAAGGACCCCCATTAGCTTTGGCTCTTGACAAAGCTTCTCTTCCTGGGGTCCGACACTTAAAACAATTCAACAATAATACAACAACATCCAAGACATCATTCCTGACATCATTAACAACGTCACCAACATCATCAACAATTTCCAACATCATCAACAATCTCATCCACTTTCAATATCAATCTCAGCCAAGGATGAGTGCACTACACACCCACCAGTACAAAGCATGAGATCAAATTAGGGTCTCACAGCTCAGTTCAGTTTTAAGTGAGAAAAGTAGGCCTGCCAAAAAAAGAGGCAGGCACAAGGTCTTAATAATAAGTAAAAACAAATAACATAATTAGTATATTAGTATAAAAACATATGGCAGTATTTGTTTTTCAATTGAACATATACAAATATTGAAGTAGCTGGTAACGTTGAAACTGGAGCATCCTCAGATAAAAAGGTGCTAAAGGTGGGAGGCAGAGGAGGAATTTATTTGGGTGGGGTCCAAAGAACCTAAAGCAAATTTGAACAAGAGCAACAATGGAGTGCAAAGAGAAGGAGGCTTATGGCATCAGGAGTAACATCTCACAACACAAACAGCTCAGGGCAGCGGCCTTTGTCCTTCTTCTAGGACTCCTTTTCAAATCTCTTCCTCTTCGGGCCGCTCGGCCACAATGCAGGTGTTGCTCCTGCTCTGACGGGTCCAGTTTGGGCTGTTTGCCGTTAGGATGTCGGTCGTTTACAGGAGAAAGGACCAAATGGAAGACGATTGTCCTCGGTGCTCACAGAGATACAGAGATAGCAGAGAGGATGAAGGTATCTCTCTCTGTGATAACGCCCGGGCCATTCCTCTGTATTGAAATAGTCCTGTGAACATTCCTTTATCTACAGATCACCTGCATATTCCACTTTTAACTCTCAACACAGACAGCTTAGGGAAGCAAGACCCTAGTTTGAGAGAAATGCAGAACGACGACGCAAACGGGCTAATGAACAGGTCGGGACAAAAGGCTTAGGTGTGACCTCGAGTCCAGGCTGTCCCCTACCTGCAGGCGGACAAAGGGACTGAGCATGCAGCGAGGAGGCAAGGAGGCGAGGAGGAGGAGGAAGGTGTGAACGGGACTACAAAAGCCTGGAGGGAATCCACAGTCTTCGACACCTATCGCTTGTTAGTTTATTTATTTTTGACTGCAGCAGATACTGAAGGAGGAGAACGTTGACACAGGCTCATTGAAGCTGAGTCAGAGGAGGGGGAGAGTTAGAGTTCATAATGAAATGAGTTGAGACGTATTAAGAGCAAATGAGAGGTTAACAAAATGTGGATTTTCAACATGTTTCAGATTTAAATTCAAGATTCAAAGGGCTTTATGGTCATTAGCTGGAGTGTAACTGTGGCAGTTCCAGGCTTCTCAAACAATGCAGCTTACACTAAATGTAGGATGTAAAATAAATAAAAACGGTGCAAGAAGAAATAGAAGTAAAAAAGTGCAATAGTACAAATATATAATATGTCTTTATTGAACAAGGACGATGCATGAACATATATTTATCTTTGAGCTTTAAAACGTGCAGTCCAGTCAGGTACAAACATATCAATCAACAGACACAAATTAAACAATAAATAGTCCACTAACAATTAGAAAAGAGATCATGGTACAGATTTATCAAATATAAATACCAGCACATTTGCACAACTATTACAATTCAATACATTTTTGAATGGTAAGTAAGTTAAGCATTCAAAATAGAGTAAAATTAATAACAAGCTACATTTAAAATGAAGTACTCTACGGTGGAATACAAATAGAAATACTTATAAAATAGTGCCACAAATCAAAATCCCACAAAGATCATGTTAAGCTAACGTCGAAGCGTTAGCATAGTGAGGACATGACCAGTGAATCCCAGCAGAAGCCCCTAATGAGATTTCCTGGGGCACAAATGGAGAGATGTATCAGAGTGTGAATGTTATCAAGCTCTCCCACCTCCTCACTATCTGACCCCCTCTCCCCCAGACCCCCTTCCCCTCTTTGTCCTTTGTCATTACTCTTATCAGGACCACTCTATCATTCTCTCAAAAAACGGTAGTGGCGCTCAAACCGCTTGCAAATGTAAGTATGTCTTTGTTTAGGGCCGGAGCGGGTCCCGCCCCCCCAGCTCCCTCCTGGGCGCAGCTTGATTGACGGCCCTCCGCTGGGTGATTGACAGGTGGCGTTGGTGAGGGCCCTGATGGCCTGTGTGACAGCTGCTGGGTGTCTCCCTGTGTTGGGCCCCGCTGGGTGGGTGCGAGGCCCCCAGGATCCCTCAGTTCAGTTAGCTGGGGCCCGGTCAGAGTGCCCCCCCCCCCCGGTGGGCTCGTTGTTGCAGATCAGCTTGTTAGCTCGCTGCACCCTGTCCTACACATCTGCTGTGTCACACATAGAGGGTGTCACACTGAGATACACATCTGCCTTCGGCCCCTAGTGTATTTGTTGTTTGTCTGACTGTTGTTTTGTTTTACTCATGTTTTTCTGAAAAGCGACCTTGGGCCCCCTGAAAGGCGCTACATACATTTAAGTTATTATTATTATTATTGCTGTGAGGGTCCCTGCACATAGAGGGCGTCACACTGAGACACTCTCTCTTTCTAAATCACTAACATCGTTATCTCGCCACTTCCTCTCCTGCCTTCGGCCCCTTGTTTATCTGTTGTTTTGTTTGTCTGTTACTGTTTTTCTGTAAAGTGACCTTGGGCCCCCTGAAAGGCGCTGTATAAATGTACGTTTAGCTCACTCCCCCAGCCCATCAGAGACTGACCTCACCACCTTCAGACACCGTACACAAACTCACGTCTTCAAACGGCCTTTTAATGTGTGATTGTTGTTTTATTGCTCGATTTCAATGTGACTTTTACTATATTTAATTGTCCTTTTTGACTACCTTCTGTAAAGCCACTTTGAGCAGCGTTAAAAGCACTTACGAAATACATTTATTATTATTATTGCTGTGAGGGTCCCTGCACATAGAGGGCGTCACACTGAGACACTCTCTCTCTTTCTAAATCACTAACATCGTTATGGTGCCACTTGCCCTTTCTCCTCTGAGCTGCAAGCTGTTTAAAAAAAAGTTTCCCCGTGTTACAAAGTGAGATGAAAAGTTCTTACAGGTAATAGTTTAGTTTGGCAATAATCATCTCCTCCTTTTAAGATGAATGTTTTTTCCTGCATGGGCCTTGTTTGTTGAAGACATAATAACTAACTTCTCCACCATTAGCACTTTATGAGTCTGCAGTTGTAGTATTGAGACAATTCATGTATAATCCAGAGCACACTATAGCATGTCGTTTTATGAAGGGCAGTAAGATAAGTATGTATTACAGATGGGGAGGCTGTGGCTCAGTGGATAGTGTGCTGGACTTCGAATCAGGGGATAGCAAGTTCGAGTCCCACTGCAGTCAGCATGTCGTTGTGTCCCTGGGCAAGACACTTCGCTCCGGTGGGGATTGTCCACAGCACTGAATGTATGTGACATGTAATGTAATGAAGCTCAGAAAAACAATTATAACAAACATATTTTTGTATTACTTTCAAATGTATTTAGCTTATACCCAAAGTCACTTCCAATAAGTGCAATAAACCATAACGCTACAAAGAACAACAAGAAACATGCAGGTACCATTGAAGTGCATTAGTTTCAATGAGCCCTTCAAGAACGACAGTTTTCTTTCTTTCTTTTCTTTCTACATTCATTTATTTAATGTCCAAGGTGCAAGTGAAACAGGAAGGTTTAGTCTGTGACGGAGGGTGTGAAGACTTTATTACAACTTAGTTATATTGTCATTTATATCTGTTTTAACACCAGCCTTGAGCTTTTGGATGCGCACAGGACGAGTTGTCGTCAAATGCATTATAAACACTTTTATCAGAATACAACTTCATTTTGGTTTGTCTATATAAGTGTACACGCTGGTTAGGAAGTCAGAAATGGAGGAACTTAAAGTAATGTGTTGCCTTTTTATCCTATTCCTTATATTTTTAAGCTCAGTTGAGTTTCCCCTGCCTTTACACTACATCTATTAACCCTCTAGAATCGTTAGCCTTTTAACACGGTTTAATTTCCAACAAATGGATTTATGAGTCGTATTGTTATTTGAATTTTACACAGAATCTGCATACAGTTGAACAAACTGAAGTTCATGCATCCATTATTTGGCCTCTAAAGCCTCACAGAGAGCAGCTAATGAGGTTATTGGGCATCTGTGACGTGACATCTACATTTTGGCCTATTTGTGAAACAATGGTAACAAGGAAGCCCGGGACATTGGGCTCTGTGTTTTCCAACTCAAAATAACAAAGGCGAGCAGCCGCTGGTGGGAGGCTGTGCTCTCATGGAAATGAGCAACTGAACCAACAATGTAGCGCCTAATCTCTTCAGAGAGAGGAATCAGTTACACAGCAGTATGCACCCCTCAATGCTTTTCATTAGAGTCAGCGTGCTATTGAAGCAGTCACTCCACCCCCCTGACTCGCACACACACACACACACACACACACACACACACACACACACACACACACACACACACACACACACACACACACAGCCCTCGTGTGTAGCCACAGGCCCTACTCATACATGCACCAGATACAAGGTAGCCCCCCAACAACAGAAGGGGTTGGAATAAGTGGGGCAGAGGGTGGTATGGGGGTGCGAGGCCTCAAAGCATGGGATTAGAGTTAATGTGCCCTCCCTGGGTTATAATCTCTTCAGAGGGGGACTTTGTTTGAGGGGCTTGAGGGCAGTAAGATAAGTATCTATTACAGAAACTCCCTCTTATCCCCCAAACATCCTCGCTTCAAAAATGAAGCACAAAAACACTTGCCTCTGTGTCGTCTGATATCCAAGACCCAGAAGCAAGTGCTGCCCTTTTCAGCTAATCAGGAATTAAGGTCTAAAGCCGTATGGAGAGTTAGAGGGAGCCATATTTACTCCATCTGTAGCCCGCAAAGTCAGGTAGGTAAAGTAAGATCAAAGGCAGCTTAAGAAACCGGGGTTATTGTGTCGAGAGAAAGAAGTTGTTCTTCTTCTCTGCTTCGTATAAGGAGAGAAGAAGAAGCCCAGTCACTCAGTATTATGGAGAGAATTCAATGTGCAATAGGGAAAGTTCTGTACCTGTTTGTTTCTTTGCCATGTGATATGTGATCTCTGTTCTGTATCTATGACTACGATGCCCAAGACACATTTCTCCTATGGCTAGCTCTATCTAAATCTAATCATTGAAGTTAATGCATACAAATATAAAAAGACACTGAAATAAAAATCCCGGATATAAAATACAGTTTATTTCAAAATAACTTCATCATATAAATATTGTGCAAAAGATGTAATGGAGGCAGTTTAGATGTTACACTTATGGCACCAAATTAGAAACAAATACCTGTTTTTTTTACAACCGATGAAAACGTGTGGAAATGCAAAAGCCCGAGCAGAAGAATTCAGAACACACTGATTTCCGTAGCAAAAGTTAATGCAGCACTTTAAATGCAGGAGGAGGAGGGGGGGGGGCATCAATAAAGAACAGTCCTGTGACAATCACCTCTCTGACAAAAGAGTTTATCAGATTATCAATCAGATTATCTGCTCAAACTGCAACGGGCAAAACACTCTTATCAGCAGAAAACCTCTTGAACGACGACAGCAGCGACATGCTTCCTGCTTCACGACAAACACACTGAGGAGCAGACAACCAATCACAACTGCAGTCTGTGTTAGCGTTAGCCTTAGTGATGAACATGTCCTCTTCCTGGTCATCTGGGAGGTCTCTGATTGAAAGAAACACACTGATGGTTCTGTTTGTTTAAGCCCACTAACTACAACTCATTGAAACACTAGTGGCCAAACATTCTGCAAAGCAAACTGTAACCTTTGAGACTCGTGCTTCCTTCCAAGAAGCATCTGGCTCCAGTACAGATGTTGTATTGACTTTAGGGAGTGTGCTTAAATGATTAGGGAGGACTACAGAGTATGTACTTCTTTCTGTTGGTATTGACTTTCCTTTAGAGAGTATTTCTCTAAGATTCATATTTGAGAACATTTCCTTGCAAATTAATTGTAGGAAAAAGTAGTTCAATAAATAAAAATGGCTTCTCGTGTTTCAGCCAGTTGATTTGAATACCATACTGCTGTGTTAAATCAGTCTGACACCTCGTAGATAGTTCTGGATGTTCAGCATAGCGTCGAGAACATAACAACGTAGTAAGCCAAACAGACAAACCACCAGCGTGCTCCGATTCAAAGGTTTCATCTGTTTATTAGAACACAGGACTCCTTTCCCTTTAATTCCTCACAGAGTGAAAGTGAGTCAGTGGCCGTTTCTCAATGTCGAGCAAACCGTCTGCGGAGCCGCTATTTCAAATATACGACGTCATCGACATTTAAACAGTCGTTCGGCGCCACTCGACGACGAAGTATACTTGACATAGTGGCTCTGCAGCAGCTTTACAAGAGTTGCTCACTTGAACACAATCAGAGGTCAACGACGAGCTAAAGCGATGAACATGGCCTGAGCTCATTTGAAATGTTAAGGCGTAAAGCAACATTCCTTCAAATGTAAAGGCTTCAAGAAATACTTTTAAGGTAGGCATACATATTTCAAATACACATATAAGTAAAGCATCCCCTGGGTTAGGGTTACATCTCCACTTCAATGATAAGCTTCTGTGGGAGCGAGCGTGTCTGTAACGTTATCAACTGTTTGTTGACACATATTCACACGAGTATATTTGTGTGTAGCTGTGGAATAGGAACATTTGTAAGTTCTCTTTTGAACATTTTCTGAGAATAACTGTGAACTCTGTGCCATCAAAGTGGATCTGATCTGTTGCCACGAGTTGTTTTTGTAACTGTTGCCCCGGAAACAGACTTTGAATGGCACTTAAAAAGGGGGATGTTTTGGCATCTCCAGACTTTGTGGAATATGTTAGAATGAAACAACCAGTTTGTGATATCTGATATATATGCATGTAGGCATCAGCTGGTTGTGAGCAGAGAGGGTCCCTGGTTTGTCTTCCTCTCAGCGTGAGAACTTCCGGGGTCTGAAGGCAGGCAGGTTGAGCTGGTGAGACGCCGTCCTCTCCTCCTCGATCGGAGCCAGCTCCTCCGCTGAGCCCCACCTCTTCTTGGAGTGAAACAACGACGCCAACTTCCTGTTCCTGTTTCGTTCCCTGGCCTGAGTGACTTGAAACTCTGAGATCAGAAGGAAGATGATTTCAAAGGTTAGGGAGAAGTGGCGAGCTCCAGCTTCAACGTGCAGTGAGTTTTATAGAAGTCAATGAGAAAATGAAACTTCAAACTTGATTTATTACCACAGTAAAGATGATCCTAACAAGTTCGTGGTCTCAATCGTTTCAATCAAGTTATTCAAGGCCTTTAGAAATGAACGCTTAAACAGTGTGTTCTCGGTTCACGAAAAGTCAATTGTTTTATATTTGGATACCCAGAAATGTTTCTTCAAACCAAATGACAAGATGCTCTAGGGAAGGCCAAACAGAAGTACAACAACATATTCAAAGAAATACATAAATGCAGCTGTTCTTGGAAACCATTAGTAATATTAAAAGCTATTTTTCGGTCATGTAATTGTAGTAGCAAAATGACGGGGCACTCACGCAGCTCGCACTCTTCCTCCGGACCCTCGGGTTCTCTGATGTTCAGATAATGGCCGGCAAGATGGCCGCTGTAGTCCCTTAAGTTTTCTTTGGCCCCTGATCAGAGCGAAAGAGAAAAAGATGCCTGTTAACCAAGGGGAATCAGGGAGGCTAATGTAATGACACCTTGCTCTTTAAGCTTTAAGAAACAACCCATGACCCACCGGAGTTTACTTTCAATTAGAGTTGAATAAAGATGCTTAAATAGTTTTATCATGTTCATTTAAAATATGCGACATAAGGATTGTTCATCTAGTAACTCAAATAATTTAATTCATCTCAATTTGAAGATTGTGCAACATTGCTATTAATGGCTGTGTCAAAATCAAATGTCTTACCGTACGTCACGATGAGAAGGTCTAGGATGTGCCGATGACCGTGTAACGCTGCAATGTGTAAAGGTGTGTATCCCTGCAGAACCAAAACAAGAGTAAGACAATATGTGTTGTAGAGTTCCTCTCTTTTCTTTAAGGGAACAGTGATGTCATTGTCACTTGAAAGGGGGGTTCAAAATGTGTGTTTGTGAGTTCAGGGGTCGTCACTGTGGCAAAGTGCTGGAAGAGTTTAGTACCTACCCCCTAGAGGTTCCCAGGCCCGAGAGGCAGCCAATGAAAACAGCGTGGAAAGAAATATAGAAATTAGCAAAGGTTATGGAAACATAAGATAATGATAAAAACATAATTGCTGGGTAATTCTCTGGAAATTGCAGAGTTGTGCATGCTGGCACATAGACGCACTGTTTTGGGAAACAATTAACATGACATGACATGATTTATTAGAGGAGTACTCCCCACAACACGAGCTGTGATACATTTACACAGCTGGAGCTTTTAGCATTACATCACGGAGGAGGAGGAGGAGGAGGAGGAGGAGGGACAGACCAGCGGCCATGATGCTGTTGTTTTCTATTCAAACCAAACAACTTACTGTACATACCATCACCTCCTGATTAAACCCCGGATACTCACATGCTGCAAGACAGAAGAAAGAAGGAGTTAATCAGTGATAGTGCACAGTGACAACATTTTACCTTAAAGGGGCTCTCCACTGATCTGAGTTCAGTTAACGTATCACAGAGCGTGCTAAAGTTCGGAAATGTGAGATATATAAGTACGTGCAAAAAATGTTCAGCATAAAGTGTGAAAAATAAGCAAATCCAAAATATATTTTAATTATACAAATAATAAAACGTTCTAGTCATAGAGCCTTGAAATATGTCAAACAAGTAAAACCTTACTTTTTCAGTTTTTTGCAGCATTTAATGAACTCTATTTCCCATAAGCCCTAGATCAGGGGTGTCAAACTCAAGGCCCGGGGGCCAAATCCGGCCCGCAACTTCATTGTTATGCGGCCCACCAAGAGCTTGCAAAGAATATAATATGTTTATTATACGGTTAAATGCGATTTACATAAGCACGTTGCCCATAAACTACATATCCCACAATGCATCTCAAATTTGACTTTTTTTCTCAGAATTTGACTTTTTTTCTCAGAACAAGTTTTTTTTTCAGAATTTGACTTATTTTCTTCAAAATATTCATTTTTTCTTAGAATTTGCCTTTTTCTCAGAATTAGATTTTTTTTAAATCATTTTGTAACATTCTCACTGAAGAGACTTGCAATGATGCTCTAGACTTCTGCTTTCAGACGTAGTTAATTATGAAGTTATTACCCTATCCGATAATAATCCAATGCAGAGGCAATAATGTCACATAATACATTATTTTATATATATTAAATATTTATATATGTATTTTGATATATAGTCTTAAAGTTACAACCGGCCCTTTGAGTGCAACCATAATGCTGATGTGCCCTGCGAAGAAATTGAGTTTGACACCCCTGCTCTAGATGAATGTATGTTACACGTCAATAAGAGACAAGTATATTGGCTATATGAGATGACTGAACGCTGTAAGAGTTTTTGGAAAGCAAAACAATGACTTCAAAAGTAAATTGTTGAATTAAAGGGATAAAGAAAACGTTATTAGTATCTGTGCTGGAAAAAGTAATGGGGTTTGTAGTTTTCTGCACGCTTACACGTTGTAGTTGATCAAATAAATGCTTAATGAGAGATTGCAGAAGCCAGTGGAACAGAGGCAGGTATGTGACTGAATGGCCCTATTTGAAAAATATCGAGTTGCATTGTGGGAAATGTAGGATATAGGTTTTTCGGAGCTTGACCGGTGTGACTAAATGTCTTGATATCTTTGCTTGAATTATGACTGTTTCATCTCTGCCTAAAAAACCCTAATGTATTAATTGTAATATGTAATTGTAATGTATTATGTAAGGTAACTCCTGTCATTGCAATTTAAATTTAAATGTAGCCTTCAATGTCCAATACTACATTTCAGGAGTGCCCCTTTAAAATAAATCTCAAATTAGACTCACTGATTTGGTGTTGACGTCAGCGCCTGCGTTAGCCACCAGAGCCGCCATGTCCTGGTTGCCATGTTTGGCGGCCCAGTGCAGAGCCGTCTGTGTGCAGACAGAAGAAAGGAGTCATTTAAAAAACACACTTCTCCTACAATATTCTGCAGTATTGTCAGGCATGGTAATTGCTGTATCATCATTACAAGTTGTCTAAGCAGCGCGGCCTCCTATTGGCCGTGTGAGTGCAGAGGGGCCAGCTGTGCACGGAGGGGAGTGGACGGATGGAGGGATGGGGAGAAGGAGGGATAGAGAGATGGTTTCCTGCCATCTAACAGAGCCTAATTACAAAACAACACAGCCCTGTGCCCACAGTTGGGGGGCCTGTCAGCGGGGGGAAGATTGATGATGTTAGTGTGACCTGCAGAGCGGAGACCCACCCAGACATCAGCACTACTGTCAGCACACGTCAGGAAACACGGGCCCCAACACTCAGAGATACACCCGCACGCTAAGATGTGTGTGGAAATAATAGACAGATGTATGTAGGAACACACACTGAAAACACACATCGCAAACCACATCCACCTGTTGGAGTGGAGCTGTGATCTCCTACACCCTTTAAGCTGTGTAATTATGGGCTATCAGCAGGTGAAAGCCCAGCGTCGCTGCAGATGTTTGAGTTACTGCCTCCAGTGTTTCTGAGTCTGACCCTTAACACAGGGAATCACACAGTGACCGTTTAGTTACACACTGACTGGGTGGATGCAAACCGTATAGCCACATTATTTTCTGATTGGAGGAGATACATTTTGTTAAGATGGGGGTTTCCATCTAAAATGTTGTTATGAATCAAATGTATAAAATAAAATAAAAGTATTTATATATAAGGAAACATTCAAACACGTCTTTTTACCCATTACGTTTTTTGAATTGATATCCTTACGAAAAGTCTTTCTGTCTGGGTCTTAAAGTCAGACAAACTAAATGTGTTCAAAACAGTCCAGGCTTTTATAGCATAGCTAGCATAGTTTGATTTGGAGAGTGTTTGCTGACACAGAATGTATGGATAGCCTTAGTTTTTGCCTGTGTTAGCAGTACATCTAATTCACTCAAAACATCTGCACTGGCGATCTTTGAAACACGCAGAAAGTCATTGAACAAACTTCTACAAGTGTATCCAAAATCCTCTTCAAAACATATGTGTAGAACGATATGTTAACTTGAGCAACTTTCCCCTAATATTCAAACTAAAAAGCACTTTGAAATGACCCAATGTCTTTGTTTGAACCAGAAGCATGTTGGGGGTTTCTTTGGGGACAGAAGGAATCCCTTTTTCAACCCGAAGGTTAAAAACGTCTTTAAGGAGTCTGCTAGTGCCCTCACCCCAGCTGTAAGTGTTGATAAACGACATCAGCGTTCGTTTATTCAGCGCAGAAACAGATGTTAGGCTCTGTGACTCGAATGCAACGATGCTCAAACACGAGAGGGCACAACACAGCACACAGGTCCTTTTGTGTTTAGAGGCTACGACGCTAATTGTGCTAATCGTTGCACAACAAGCCTGTCCAACAGCTGGCCAGACGAACATGTCTGCTTGTGTCCCCTGAAGGGAGCGATGGGTAGCTCCAGCTCTGCGTGTCAGGCGTCTGAGAGACAGATTGTGATGGATGCTGTCTGGCTGGAGTATCTCCATCTCTTTTGTCTGTCCCCTGTCACGCGTTAAGACAGATTGACCAGAGGGCCGTTTGACAGGCGGCTCGGCGGGTCTCCCGGCGGGCGGGGGTGATGGACGAGGACGGACAGGATGCAGCGTCTTCCCTTCCTGCGCTGCTCGTTCCTCTTCCTGCCCGCGGGGGTGCCTCCGCCTGTCCAATCACTCAGGACGTCCCACCAGTCCCCCACCGAGGGAAGTGTTGGCCAGAGAGACGCTCACTTCAACAATGACCTGTGACACTTGATGTGGAGGAAGGCAGAGAGGAGTGATGGGAGAATGATGTACTTACAAACTGTGTGGCAGAGGAAGTTGGTCCCAGCGGGAAACGGGGTCCACGAGGAGAAAAGGAAATAGAGAGAAAGAGTTAGGAAAGAGATAGTGGTTTTTTGTTGTTGTAGTAACTTGTACAGAATGCTTTGGCAATACTATGCTGTTGATACGGTCATGCCAATAAAGCTCCTTTGAGTTGAATTGGAGTAAGAGGTTTTTAACTTATGTGAGATGTGGGTGTTCTAATAATAATACATCATATTTATTGAGCACTTTTCCCACTGCTTGAAGACCCTTTAATACAAGAACAAATCAAGCAGTCCTGAGCTAAGTCAAAAAGGGGGGTGGGCTAGAGGGCTTTAGGTTGACAGGTGAGTTTTAAGGGCTTTTTTGAAGCTTGTGAGAGTGTCTATGTTGTTAATGTATTATCTTTTTAATGTAGACACGACATCTACTACACGTCTGTTCGGGTTTCTTCCATTTTGTCCCATTTACTGAGGGGTTCCTTTGGAGGCTTTCCCTCGTCCGATGAGAGGGTCTAAGGACCGAGGGTGTCCTATTCTGTACAAACTCTAAAGCCCCCTGAGACAAATGTGTGATATTGGGCTGTATAAATGAACTTTGATTGATTGAAGGAAACTTTGTTGGCACTTTGAATGTGATGGACTTGTTGAAGGCTTTGTAGGTGGTGAGTAATAGAGAGGCGAAGTCCCTCCCCTTCCGGTGGACCTCCATGGGACCTTATTTCGGAAAAAGTAAGCATTGAAGTCAATGCGGAGAAAAAGATTATCTTTCGATCCCGTTTGAATTGTGCCACGAATTACACATATGATGTTTGTCAATCTTTACAATTTATTTCCGTGTCAAAAAAGTCACAGTTTTCGTAAAACTGTTGAAATATAAGACTATAACAAGAAAGACTACAAATCCCAGAGTCGCGTAAGTGATGTCATTAACATTACACTCGTGTTACTCACCGACACCTTGTAAAGCCGGTCCCGCATGCTGGCTCTTATGGAACCGACTAACTCCCCTTGTGTGTATGTATAGCTCTCAACATGCCCAGACTTGGAGTGATTTTCACCTCTTTTAATACTTTCCGCCTCATTCTGAAAGAAAGAAGTGAAATGTGCCAACGTGACGGCCGTCTTGGTGTGTGGTGCGAGACGGGAGAGGTAGTTCATTGAGCGGTCTCACACAAAACAAAGTGTTACTTCACAGTTTTACGACACATTTGTATTTTTTTTACTTGCAAAATTATCTTTTAAATTAACAAACATCATATGTTTAATTCGTGGCACAATTCAAACGGGATCGAAAGATACGTTTTCTCTCTCCATTGACTTCAATACATACTTTTTCCGAAATAAGGTCCCATAGAGGTCCACCGGAAGGGGAGAGACTTCGCCACTATTATTTTTCATTTTCCAGTACCGCACTAAACATGTTTTCGATTATAAGTCGTTCTGTGAAACAGTCTGTGATGGACGAGAGTGAAAATGGAACACGCTATTTGTTGTTTGTTTATATCACGCAGTCTGTTCTTCTTCTCTTGGTTATCAAGCAGTCTGTCTTCCGGTTGCCTCTTTTGAATGACGAATACACACTACTGCCGCCTGCTGGTAAGGAGAGTTATTGCCAAAATAAGGTCCCATGGAGGAAAGGGAGGGACTCCACCTCTCTATTTTAATTTTTAAGTTTGAGGAATCATTTGGTTTTCTGGAGTAAGAGTCAGTCGGTGGGTTTCTATACTTTTCTAGATCAACAGATTTGAGGTGAAGTGAGAGAGGAGAGAGAGAGTGAGGACTTTGGGATGAACCCATGAACTTCTACATGTCCGAGTGCAGCTAGATAAACAGACATGATACTTTGGGGAGAGTTTTGATATCTGAATCTTGGGTTGAAGAGAATGGAGCATATTGTTTCTTTTAAAGGTTTGAAAGCCCCTTAGGGATCATTTCTGATTTGTGATATCTATTTATGATCAGTGAGCCATCGTGACCAAACACAGCACGAGAGTTGAAAAGCTTCAATTCATCCAAACTCATAACGTTTTATACGGCTGTCGCTAGGCAGAAACACACACCTGCTGACCCATATGTCAATGTATCTTGTAAGAAATTAGATGTGGAGGACAAAGGAGTTGAGGATGAACCCATGCACTTCTAACGAAAAAACAAACATGGAGGTCAACACCTCGACACAGCGGCGGGTGGTCAAATCAAACGTCTCCACCGAGAAGCAGCTGCAGAAAACACATCTACTTCAACATGTCCTCTCAGTAGCTCTCCCTGAACCCTCAGCATGGTGAAGCTCCATCTGTCAGGGATGCTGCTGACGTCAGCCTGAGTGTGTGGGTGTGTGTGTGTGTGTGTGTGTGTGTGTGTGTGTGTGTGTGTGTGTGTGTGTGTGTGTGTGTGTGTGTGTGTGTGTGTGTGTGTGTCATGTTTTCAGGAGGAATTTAGCCTCAGCTGAGCAGCTTTTCTAAATGTTTCCAGATGGAGGGAACGCCCCACCGATGTTTCCTCTGGCGCTCCGTCTCCTCCCTCTAATCCTCCGCCCGTCCAGCTGAGGCCTTTAGCTGATGCTGTCACCAGCTGACTCACTGCAGGAGCAGCGGGTGCAGCAGGAGAACATACACACCGTGTCTATAGGAGAGACAGAGCCTAATCTTATTCAATCTTACTGTGCCGGCTATATTCCTATTAAACGTCCCATGTCATGCTTTTCTGGTTATGACCCGTCCCCTTGTGTTTGATGAAGGTGTTCCTGCATGTAAGCGGTCTGCAGAGTCACAAACCCTCAAAGTACACCCTGTAGGGAGTACAACTCTAACACAGAGAAGACCTGTCTATGCTGCCCCAGAACGCCTCGTTGGACATTTCTCTTTTTCCATTGTTTGCTTCCTGAGTTCTGTGACGTGTGAACACCCAGATCAACAACAAATGATCTGATTGGCCCAAATGGACCAATCCTCGGAGCACCTCACTCACCAGGATCCCTTGACTAACTAACAGGGAGTCCCATTGACTTGCATAGAGCTCCCTGGTTGGTAATAGACGAGTTGGGATTGTGGAGAAATGCTCTCTGCAGACCCATTCTCACAGCGTTAGAAACCTTTTTCTTTCTCAATATCAAGCCACATTTATTGTTTTTACTTCGGCTGTGAGTGTTTGTGTGCTCAGGATGAGTTTCGCTTGTTCTCCTGTATCGCTGACCCGGAAACCTGTCCGCTCCTCGCAGCAACGAGCCTCGCAACGTCCCGACCAATCAGAGCACAGTGGGCTCACAGGGAGGGGGGGGGGCGGAGCTCCAACAAGCCGTGTAGGACAGAGAGTGAATACACACACTATACAGAGATGCTAGATGAGAAACCAATGTGAGTTTGGAACATTGAACAATGTAAATCTATTCTAGTAGACCTCAACAATGGAATTATGATCATCAGTAGAAATGGCCGTCACATTGACCTTTAAAGCTCTTAATAAAGTACTTTAAAAACGGATTTATTTTTCTTCAGAGAGTCTAATAAATAATAAAATAATTTAATAAAATTGAAATAATTACAGTTGNCAGCTCCACTGTCTTGGAATAGTCTGCAATTGAAATGGAAACTGAGCAATCTGGTTCCACTAAATGTTTTTAAAGCTCGGTTGGATGCTACTCAATCGGAAGCTGTTGGTACCTGCTCATGTGGATAGTTATGTAAATTGTAATCCCTGTAATGATGCTGTATGATGTCCTGTTTGTTGTTCTGTTTATGTTTTTATGTTTCATGTGGAACCTACTTGAGCAGGTCTCCCTTGAAAAAGAGATCAATGTTCTCAATGGGATACACCTGGATAAATCAAGGTTTGAAATGAAATGAAAACGATTCAACACGTTGTTGTCTTTGCAGCAGAGTTTTACACATGTTGTCGATGACAGTCTGATGTGTTTTCCACTGTCTACCTTCTAACAATACAGTATGGCAAGCTAGCATGGTCCCGGAGAATTAGCCTCATGTCTCTGAACCTCACCATGTGGGTCACAGCGCTCCCTCCAGAGACACAGGACCATTTATTTGTGATCATTTCATAATTGTTTACTATCTCAAATAAGACGGCTACGTTTTGGTGTTTGTTTAAAACGTTCTGATCATTTGACTGCTCCTGTTTCTTTCAGAGACTTTGTGGTATGGATGTGGATTCTTTTTGACAGCTGACCATAAGATCCAATCCAGCGCGGGGTTACCTTCTTGTTTGCCAGCGAGGGGTCCTGTCTGAGCAGCTGAGAGAGGTCAGGGACTCGAGCACCTGCAGCCGAGTAGATCCACTCCTTCTCTATGGGATCCAGCTATCATAGAGAGAGAGGAGCGTGAGGACACACACACACACACACACACACACACACACACACACACACACACACACACACACACACACACACACACACACACACACACACACACACACACACACACACTACTGTCCACATCCTGTTGTGTGCTCTATAGATCGTGCTGAAGCCTATAATCCATTTCCTACAAATGAGTGAGTCCCAGCCAACTGACACAGAGAGGGAGACTCCCACAATGCATTGCACAGAGTCAATTCAAATTGTTTACGATTTTCCGACTTTTGACTGGAGTTCGAGTCAAATCCACACCTCTGGTTAGAAAGGAAGGAGTAGGGACACCCTGGGAATTGTTGATTACCAGGACTAAACTTCAATGATCAGCTTTAAAGCTTTTTCCTTTAACTTCTGTATCCATTTGTAACCCATTAGGAAACCCTTAAAAGAGGAAGGAAAAGGACTCACAGCGACAGCAGCCGATCCCATACTGCCCGTACTCTCCTCGTCCTGCTCTGACTCGGACTGAAAGACAGAAACACAGGACTGTTACTCAGGGGTGACGGGAAGTCAACTGGAACCTATCAGTCATAATGTACTATATCAGACAGCATCGTCATAGGACACAAATACACACGCTCTCCATCCACCCCCAGACAGCTGTGATGTTCCTCAGCTGACGAGACGCGACCAAAGGGTGTCAGACAGATCGAGGGGTAATGAGGCAGCGTGACAAAGGTGCCGCTTTCACACATGCGGGGTAATGAATAACAATCCAATTAACAATTAACCAAAAAAACAACACGCCAACAGCCAGGCCGCGTCACCCTTTAAGTATCAAGGGGCCAAGTGAAAGTGTAGAAACAGCAGCGTAGTGTATAGCGGTGTATAAAAGTGTCACTGGCTGATTTATGAGAGGGGGGGGGGTTATTTTCCTTCTACTTGACGGGAAATTGTTCTCAGATCTTACGGAGACACGATGTTTAAACACTCGTGGCCTTTCAAGTCTCTTGCTCAAACTGTCACACGTCAGCGTGAGGAACATGGAAAGTGGACGATTGTATTTATCCAGCCGACTCCACTCGGGCTCAAGAACATTTTTGGGGTTGAGAGAGACAGAAAGAAAACTGTTCAGCATGGAAAAGCTCTTTGATTTTTTTTATTAATGATATTTTAGCGCTGCAACTATTATTTTCATTGTGGATTCATCATTCCTTATTTTTAGACTGTTCCTCTGGTCTTTGAATTGTCAGAAAACACTGTAAATTACCCAATTCTCCATCGTTCAAGGTGACGCTTATATGTTCTATTAATGTTGATTTTAAACAGAGAAACCAACAAATGCAATATAAATAAAACTGATTGGAACAGCCCTTTTTGTTAGTCTTGTAGTTGACATAGTGGAGCCTGAGGAGAAGTGAAGTGAAGTGAAACTGTATGTATGTTTTATAGCCTAAACTAATTTGAAGAAAGTTTTTAATGTAAAGGGGTATCAGATGGAGGTGTGTGGCGCAGTGGACTAGTGCGTTGGTGTTGGTTTCAGGGGTTCACAGGTTCAAACCCCACTGCAGTCAGCATGTCCCTGAGACACTTCACCCCAAATTGCTCCTGTGGGGATTGTCCACAGTGTTGAGTGTGCTAGTCACTTTGGATAAAAGCGTCTAACAAGTGAAATGTAAATATTGTGGAGAATATTATCAGCTGACCACCAGTAGAAAGGGTCTCTAATGACATTTAACACGGAGGATTCTTCTTGTGTTTTTAAATACAGTAAGATATACAGTTATAATGTTGGATATTTAAACAAGAGTCTGCTGCATCTTTACCAACTGAGTGAGGCTGGACTGAGCTGAATGCTAACATCAGCACGCTAACTAAGCTAAGCTAAGCTAAGCTAAGCTAAGCTAAGCTAAGCTAAGCTAAGCTAGGCTTTTCTTATGTTGTTGTAAATCTTGCATCACGTCATAGTTTTTCCTAAAGACACCAAAACATTTCTGATAAGGCAAAGTTATATATGAGCATGACACATGTTTTACTCCAAAATAGACTCTTTCTTTCTGGAGTAAAAACGATATAATGGAAAACTATTTAAAAACATACTTTAAAATGTATTTTGCATGCAAGTACTGCAATTTATTTGTACTTAACTTACCGATATATTTACACTATCATTTTCTCTATTCTATTTCTTGAGGGTATCTGTCCCAGGTTCAGGTCCAGGTTATTTATTTGTACCCGTAGGTAGATTGTGTTTGCAGAGAAAAAGACAAGGGATCCATCCTGACACTAAAAACACAAACAACAGACACATCTCTAATAAAAGGATTAGTAAAAAGTTCAAGTATACCCTGCTCAACCAAATCTCAAAATATTTCAAAAACTTTTTAAGAAGGAAAACATTAGTACAAACATGGACATTCAAAATTCATAATTAATTAAATAAAAATAGGCATCTGTGTGACGCTCCTATGATGTGTTAATTTGTGCAATAGTTGCTTGGATAAAACTGTTTGTATACCGCTTCGTTCTACTCTTTGGGAGCGAGGACAAGTAACCTCCGGCCCGAAGGAAGAAGCTTGAATTCTGAGTGCAGAGGGTGGGAGTCATCGTCGTCTAACATGGAGCTGGTTAACCGCTGTAACTGCCTGAGGTACAGCCAGGGTCTC